TATGATAAAATATTTGACAGGGAAAATTTGACATTAGAAAAAATTAATATACAAATTCTAAGGAATATTAAAATACAAACTAAAGAAAAATGAGTAGTTAAAATATAAACAAAAAAACAAAAAATAAAAATGTCAATAGAAAAGGGCTTGAGAAATATAGAGGAAGAATAAAATTAAAAAATAAATAATAACTTGATAATCTCATTTGGAACTTCTGTCACCAGACTAGTAGGTGTTTCTTCTAACTCCTCTTCTCCCAAATCAGCTTCTACTTCTTCACCTGAATTTTCATCAACATTAGGATTAATATTACCATAACATCATTCTAAATTTTCGTGATCGAGTTGAACATTTGAATCAATATCATAAGAAGTATCATCAACATAAGTAGAATCATTTATGTTAAATCTAACTCTACTCGTTGATTTAGATGAAGTACCACCACTTTTACTACTCTTTTTTTCTTTACTATTTCTTTTTACCAAAATTAAATAATTTAAAAGGTCTACTTTCTTCGTTATCTTGTGCTTTCTCTTTTCTTTGCCGCTAATTTTTTTGCTAGAACTCATACTTAATTATATATAAAGTGTAATATAAAAATAATAATAACACAAAAATAAAGACGAAAAATAAAATATAAATATTATGAAACGAATGTACCAAACGTCTGCGTTAATAGCAGACGTTAAACCGATTGTTGAAGCTTGTGGTTTATTGTAACTTGCAATTTGAAACTCCAATGAATACTTAATAACAAATATGAGATAATATAATTATATATATTGATATAATATGAAAATTTCGACTTGAAAATTGAAATATATGAATTATAATAATATGAGAATTAAAATGGAATAAAAATTAAGATTGACACTTGAGAGTTGAGAGGATATAGAAAAATAGATGAGAGAAATGAGAATAGATGATTTTGTAAAAAATAGTAGGGGATAGGTGTATTTACAATATTAAAAATAGATTAAAAAATGAAATTATTATAACTTGAGGGTTTAAAAAAAAGTTTTAAAAATAGAGAGTGGTAGCGGGCGTTTGGGAACACAAAAATGACAAAAATCCGTTGGGGGGCCCAATAGCCGTTTCCCCAACGGATTAAAATGGTAACTTTTTGAAAATTAAAAAAAAAAGTGAATTCCGTGAACCGATCGATTCACCGAACTGGATCGACCGAAACGCCGGAGTGAACCGACCCCTGATCAGTCCCCTCATCCCCCACCCCTTAAACACCCTAAACATAAGGAGATGGTCCGGGCGGTATGGCCCGATACCCCTGCCACCCGTACTCTTAACCATGATGAAAACTTCAAAAGCCTCTAACCAACTAATCAGAAGAAGAAACATTTTCTGAACCGTATGCAACAAAAAAAATGAATGTTCTTAAATGTAAATGTTTTTAATCTTTACATATATATATATATATATATAAAAATCAAAATTCACTTTAACCCATCATTTAATAAACCCCTTTTCGTGTCAGGTTAATCCCTTTGAAGTTTTTTATTTTTATTTTTAAAATTATTTATATAATATTATATAATTATTTGTGATATATGTTTGTATTTTTGTCTGGTGACTATTTTCATTGAATTCTTTATTTTATTTTAAAATATTTATATAATATTATATTGCTACTTGTGATATGTGTGTGTGTTTTTGTTTTGCAAATTGAAAACAGATGACTATAAAATGGAATCATAGGTGAACAATAATTTTATCTTATTTTGTTTGGTAAGTTATTTATTATTTTTAGTTGATTGATATGATCTTTTTTTGTTTTATGTTGCAATAACATTGTTACTCTCATCTTCTTCTAAATGTTTATGAAATTTCTTGAAAAAAATAAACAAGTACTATTGAATTCTTGTGTTAATTATTTACTATATTAATAATGTGTTTTCTCACTCATTTATGTTGTATTATTCTAGATGATATAAACATAATTTTGTTGCTTAGATGTCGACGGCTAAGTTAAAAATTTATCAGTAATAACATGTTATTTTATTATAAGTTCTACCAATTATAATTATACGTGTATACGAGAAGAAAATTAAAAATATTCCAAAATTTTTTACTTTCTTTGAATTTTTTCATTGATATGACCAAAGATATAAAAAGTCAGTCATCTTCTCATGAAATTGAAAATCTATGTCCTACGATCCTTATATGTGTGTGTATTTGATTAATGAACGAAGTAAAATTAAGTTTAGATTTATACTCATTTCAATATGAATACATTATGTTTTTATTTTAAGTTCATCTTTTCCTTTCGAGAATCAGCTTTAAAAGAAAATATAAATTATTTCAATTTAAATAGATTGTTATTGTACATAATTCAAGTATTTCTACATAATTAAAAAATTTAAAATTAAAGAAAATAAATAGCAATAATGCATAATTATTATTTTTTTTGGTTAAAAGAAGAGATAGTGTATCGTAATATTATACATCAATACAAATATTATGCATAGCTTAAAGCTTAAGAAACAACGCGTTCAAAATTCAAGGCTAAACAAAGTTTTAATAGTATTGATATTCAAAAATTAAGGAAATATTAAAAAAAAATTGACAATATTTTTATAATGCGCGAAGCGTAAACTAATTCACTAGTAAACAATAACTTTTGAAACTATTAAATTCAATCAGTCAACTATGGTATATCTTTATTGAGATACTTAGATTGAATTGGTAAATGACTTAGAAACAAAATCTTACTAATATATTTTTCAATAGCTAACTAATTTTACAATCAAAGTAGACATTTACAAGACATAAAACTTAATAAATGTATATAAATTTTTTATAGGAGTAGTGATATTTAATTAGTGATTAATTTATGAATTAGTCATTACAACCTAATTTATATATATATATATATATATTGGTTTGGAGCAGACTTTTTAAAGATTTTTCTGCGACTCGCCTCGGGGCTTGCCATGGGGCGGAGATCTAGCAAAACGCCTAGAGATTCAATGTGAAACTTAGTTTTACGAGACTTACGCCCTAAGCACCTGACTGTATGCCCTAAGTACGCCCAACGCTTGGGGCTCGCCCATCAGATCTTACACAAATTATGTGTTAAAATCTTTAACTAACATTGTTGACCCTCATAATTCTTGAATAAATGAATGATACATAGCTTTTTAATTTATAAAGATAACAAGATTGAGAGTAACTCAACAACAAATGTAGTATCACATATTCACTATTTGGTAACACTATGAAGGTAATTATATATTACGTGATATTTCTCTTAAAAATATGTAGTGAAATTTTACTTTTTCACTTATTATTGGTCTTCATGGTTTTGTCATATATCTCAAAATTGTCATATTTTATTTAAATATTTGAAAGTAATTAATTTTATTTTTATTCATGAAGGGTGATGTTTATATATATATATATATATATATATATATATATTAGAAATAGTGATTCTTTTTTTATTAGAAAGTTAAGATATTCGAATGAATATAAATATACCCCACTGCTGTGAAAGTTTACTCACGGGGTGTTACCACGAAATATTGGATTTTCTCTTTCTCTCTCTAGATCTCTCATCTCTTTCTCTTGAAAGTTCTTGTGTTCTTCATTCATCAAGTGTATGTGCGTGAATTTGATCTTTAATTCATCTTATTTTCCCTGGTTCATTTTATTTTATAATTGTTATAAATTTAACAAGTGAACTCACTTTTCTTTTCTACTTTGGTTAATTTTATTTTTTAAAATTTAATTTAGAGTTCTTGATGAATTTGTTACACTTTTTATAGGTGATTTATTCTGAGCACATTTCCAAACATATTTATCTTGATGCAACTTAAAGGACAAGATAAAAGATTTAATTTTTTTTGTACAAATGATGTGGTGTAATTAATTCACATATGATTTGGTATTACAGTTGCAACAATGTATATATAGGACAAGGTGATGTGATATATTTCTTTTATGGCCTTAAATTGATTTATCCTTTTTTCAATCTTTTATTTTTACTTTTTTCCATTTTAAAATTAATTGTGATATTGTAAAAAAAAAAATTCACTCTTGAATCATTTAGCTACACCTTTTAAATCTCTATCCCTATAATTAATTGATTAGTTATTATTGTAATGTAATGGTTGAAGCAATAAAAAATTGTGGCTTGTGAGTAAAGGTGTTCACACATCGAAAAAAATGATCCAAATCAAAATATCGAACCAAATCAAAATAATTGATCAATTTTATTTGGGTTTGATTTGGATTTTTGAAAATCGATAGTATTTGTTTGTTATGGTCTATTCAATAAAAAATCAAAGAAATAACTGAACCGATACATTATGTACACATATTTCATTGATATATACATACTTAATATATTATTTTTATAAACAACTTTAAAGATCATGCATGTGTTTTCATCAAAATTTATTTATAATTTACTTATTGATAGTAAAATTTTCTTTATAATTTACTTACTGAAGCAAAATATCCAAAGTGAAAACATTCAAAACACTCAGTAATTTCAATCATTCTAACTATTTTTCGTTTTGAATGACTTATTATCTGAATTGTTTCTTTTATTTTTATGTATGGCTAATAATCGAATCTCTAAACTAAATGAAACCCAAATTGATAAAATGTATATTATATTTGATTTGATTTGATAATTTTAACACCAATTAAATAAATTAAACCCTTTAAGGCTACAAACAACCGAAAATGAGAAAACAAAGTCATTTTTCTTTCACAAAAGTCCTATTAGAAAACTGATAATGTCAAATTGTCAATCTTAAATCTGGAATTACAAGGGGCTTTATTAGGAATGTTTTTCATATTAACTTTATCTTAATTTTGGCTATTCATCATGCAGGTGATGAATTAATGTTATATTCTAATTTAGATTGAAGAGCATTCCAATATGAAGATTACTAAAATCAGAATTAAAGTTTATATATACTTTATAGGAGTGTTCAAATAGTACAAGTTAGATAACACAAATACTAAAAGTATAGTGATAAAAAATCGTGTTTCTTCTTTGTACCCTTGGGATGAGCATTGAACACTTGAAATTTGAGTACTGTATGAACTTGCAAAGATGAGTAATTTAATTAAGCCAACTACATGTATTGTGATAGCTGCAGAATTTCTGGTTATTATATATCCAGAAAAACATTACACTAAAGCAGATGCTAGGCAAAATTCATGGATATGAATAAATATCAGGAACACGAAGACACTACGACCAACAAAAGAAGCCCTTCATATCAGCAAGTACCTTGGAAGCCAACAACATTTTCTCTGTGTTTTCAAGCATTGGCGACCATCCCTTCATGGAAATCAGTTGGTAAGCTTCCTTCTCCGTCAGTTCCTTCAGAATCTGCTTTTACCTCTGATTTTGGTGACCAACCATACATCTTCCTTCTGGCTTCCCTACGGGCTGCTCTTTCTTCCAACTTCACTTCCTTAAATTGCTCTTCAAGTTTTGTTTCTTCTTCGGGTGTAAAGAAAACTACCTCCATTTTACCAAGCTCCTCGTACAACTTCTCAATCTTAGCTTTCCAGAACAGGCCTAATTCAGTGTCCATCTCATGGTAAGGTGTCTTCAGCAGGTACTCATCAATACCACCTGCCTTGTCAATACATCGCAAGGCATGAGTTGTAACCTTCACACGAATTTGGCGATCGAGGATGTAGCTGAAAAGCCGTTTCTCTTGCACATTAGGCTTCCAAGTCCTCCTAGACCTGTTCAAATAAACAAATCACAATTTATTTTTTGGGGGAAGTAAAGAATGACAGTTTATTATGATTCACCACATATGACACTGCAGTTAAAAATATGACCTACAATCCAAAGGCAGCAGACTACAAATACCAGCATTTGCAAGCCAACTAAAAGTTTCAAGCAACTACAGGCAATTACATCTGAATTAAGTGAGGAGGGATAGGTAGAAGAAAAGCACTTAGTTGATAATGGATATATCAAACTCGGCAAAGCCTTCTGCCGTACAAGCATCAAAGAAGAATATTTCCGCGAATCTGATTTCTATTGGGAAAGATCGTATTTACCTCTAGAAACAAATTTGGTGCAGGAAGAAAAGAGAACTATTCTGAAGCTCTGGAGAAAAAGGATGGCAGGCAAGCACTAGCTGATCTTACAAACTCAAGCAAATAGCCATTCGTTGCAGAAGAGGAATTTCTCCATAATCATCAAAATTGGGACAAAGCACAGGGAAAGGCCATGGACATGAGTTGTTTTCTGAAGGAAATTGGATTAGATCACGATGATATCCCAGTGCAAATTGGAGAATCTCCACATGCACTTCAACCATCAAATGAAGTCAAAGTCATCAGCATATCATCCAGAAAGCCCAAAGAAGCATTATGTCAAAGTGGAAGAGATGCCAGAACTGATTTTTTATGATCATATTTGTAGATACGAGGAAAATCGGGCTTGTGAATCTTTTTCCCCTTGTTCTGCATCTCCTAAATCAGCAAAGTCACCTTATATCATCTGGACAGACAACGGTATTCTAGATGCATTGATTGGAACATCTATCAAACCAAAGCATTGATGGACACTTCTTTTAGCTAAAGGATCACTTGCAGCCCTAGAATATTGTTCAGTATATCTGTTGTAGTCATCGGTCAGTCAGCTGTTTTATTGTTCATGTTGTTTAGTTCTGCCTTGCTTCACATTTTATTACTTAGCCCTAATGCTTTTGTATTTTTTTTAAAAAACTCTTAACATCAGAAGGAGGATATTTCCTCCATATGAAACAGAAAAGTCTTTGTTAAGTAGAAATAAGAAAAATAATGCTTTGGAGCCTCTGCTGATTCTAGAGCAAACAACTATAAATACCAAATTAAATTGAGAAAATTAACATGATGAACTTGGAAACCGAAGTCCAACAGCTGGCAAAGGTAGAGGAGGTTTCTTGGAGACAAAAATAGATGTTTGTAGTTTAAGGAAGGAGGTAGAAACATTATGTTTTTCCAAAGTGTTTCCAAGTCCTACAGGAGATATAACTGCATCGAAAGATTGAAGGTTGCAGACACAGTTATTGAGGATAAACAACATATCAAAGAATACTGGCCTTCTATCAGAACTTATACCCTGAGGATGAAAATTGGAGGCCTACAAAAAAAATTTAAGGCTTTGCAGGTTTGTGTATGGCTTGATATTCCTTTTCAAATGGCGTCCTTATGAGAAAAGATGATCGCCTTGTGATCAAGGACCCAAACCCAAACTTATTATTTGCTAGTCAGTTCAAATGCCTTTACATGATCTATGTGGTTGAACTACTAGGAGTTCCCTAGCACTATGACATGAAACTCTCTTGATGATGTGAAACAGGTGATAAACAGTGTCTTTGCTACCCAAGCAATCCTTTCAATTCTCCTGAATTCTCATAGTCTTGAGCAGAACAAGACATAAAATCACTTTTGGCTATAAATAAATTGTTTGAAGTGGTTGCCACTGTATTCATGGTAAGCGTTATAAAAGATGACTTTACACTGTAAAACAGAAGATGTCTTCTGATAACAACTTCTAGCCCCTTAGGATACTTCACTTTTAGAACTATATTTTACAGAGTCACACCCAACTTCCAGTTTACCACAAACTTTCAAAAAATAAATGTACATTTTAGATGAAAACTATTCAAACCACTATGTTTGACACAATATAGTGCCATTGACAACTATAAAACAAACTAATAATATTCTTTCAATTGAGGGAATGGGAGAATGGAGATATTCCTAAACATATCTAACTAATAATAATATGTGAAGTAAAAAATCAGAAGAACATTTGAGCAAGGATATCACAGAATCTACAGAGCACAACAAATCAAAATCTGACATTTAGCCTAGAAATAGAAAATAGAAAATCGCTTTTCAAATTGAGAAGAAGAAGAAGAAACTCACGTATTTCCACCTTTCTCACTGACCCGATTGCCAAACTGAATGTGACGGCCAGCGAAGAGGCCACGCTGAGCACGACCCATGACAACTTTTGCATTTGGCACGCATTTCTCAAGCCGTTCTTTAACTCCAGATGCCAAGTTCTTCTCTCCACCTATATTCTTCACTATCTTTTTCATCATTTCCTTGGATCTAAACGCCATTTCTTCTCCAGAATTTTGATGGAATTTGAGGTTTAGGGTTTTAGAGCTGAAACTTGAAGCTCAAAATTAGTACTATATGTTTCTATTTTATTCCTGCACAACAATTTTCCAAATCGCTCTTGGTAAATCTTGAGTATATGTTTTATTTGCATCTAAGTATAAAGTAAATAGAATAGTTTTTTTAATAAACTTGTTATATATTTTATGATTACTATTTAAGTGTACATGTTTTGTACTTGTATATTGCGTTAATTAATAATAAATATATGTAAAATTAAAAAACAAATTGTGAACATTATGTTATTAAGTACAAAAAAAATAACGTAAATTTTTTAATATAGAACCAACTAGTTCCAAACTAATGTCAACAACTAAACCGAAGTCTAGGACAAATCAAACAAATATACTTTGTTACAAACTAACTCCAACAGTTAAACCAAATTAAAGCTAAGTGGCAACAACACTAGACGGACACAAATTAAGCTAACAAGAAAATCAATTTTGTCATCAATAGGATCTACTAGTGGTGGTACTTGTGCTTAACAAATACATTATCACCAAATTAAAGCTAAGTGTTCATACTAGATGGATATAAATTGATCTTCAAAAAAATCAATTTTATCATCATAGGATCAACTAGTGTTGACACTTGTGCTAAACAAACTCATATCACCAAATTAAAACTTAAGCTTCAACACTAGGTGGACATAAATTGATCTTGCAAGAAAATCAATTTTGTCATAGTTTCAACTATTGTTATCACTTATGTTACACAAACACATTATCAGCAAATTAAGGCTAAATGTCAATACTAGGTGGACACATTCGATTTTGCAAGAAATCAATTTTGTCATCAATGGAATCAAATAGTTTTGATAGTTATGCTAAACAAACACATTATTACCAAATTAAAGCTAAGTGACAACACTAGGTGGACACAAATTGATCTTGCAAGAAATTCAATTGTCATTAATAGGATTAACTAGTATTGGTACTTATACTAAACAAACTCATTATCACTAAAGCACTCTATAAAAAATCAAACAAACTCTAAGCAAAATACAAGTGTATTGAATCAAAAAAATAGTCTAGAATACAATAATTATGATTTTCTAAGAAATAATACATTGACTTTTTTTTTAACTAAGGAGATGGAGAGGTTGGCGCCAATAGGCTCGACTTTGTTGGATATTGGAACCGTTAATTGAACTATATCTATGCACTTACAACTTGTTCCCTATACATGAAATTGAAGCAAGTATAATGTTAAAAAATTTAGTCCAAAACTGAACCTTAAGGAGCCAAAAGAAACAATAAAAGGTGAGATTTTGCATAAAGATTTAAGAATGATTGACAAAAAGAAGACAATCCATATAGAGAGCAAGATGTGCATCATAAATAAAGTAAATTGTTGGAGACTTTTGACTGTTACAAAAAAACCCAATACATAACTCCACGGCAAAAGGACAAATATTGTATTTATTATTACCAAACATAAAATAAATGCCAACCTTTGGCATCTCCTTCATTAAATAATTTTCTACCTTAAAGGACATTCTTTTGTTGTCCATAATTGACCATCTTATTTTCTTTTATAGTAGGATATACTATATTTTAAATTTCAATACTCAATTTTATTTTTTATTTTTTATGAATAAGTAGATACATTTAAAGGCATCAAGAAGATGCAAGCTTTACAAGGATAGATTAGTTAAGCTCGTAAGAAAAGGATTTGTAGCCTCTTTCTAAACTATAGAGCTAACAAAATCCAAGAAGAGTTCTATATTATTTAAGGTGGTCAATTTGGAACAACTAAAAAGGCTAACAAGACATTTGTTTAGCAAAAGATTTCTAGAATTTGAAATTCCATCAAAACATCTTTGTTCCTCCCTGTCCATGAACACCAAAAGATTGCACCAAGGACCATCATCGACATACTCTTGATAGCTTTGTCAACTTCCTGTGAACTCCAATTTTCAAGAACATTGACTCCTCAATTATTTTTAAAACAATTACGACATCACATGTTTGTCGTTGCAACTGTCAACAAAAATGCATAGTCCTTTTTAAGATAAAAGACTCTTTCATTTTTTATGAAGGATATTTGTCAATATTGTTTGTACTTTGTGTTATATTTTTCCTTTGTTCTCTTTAATTAATAAATAACTTTAAAAAATGGGGAGAGCTTACTTACATGTGGCCAAATTTATAAGATCATTAGGTTACTCAAGATTGGAAAGTCAGAAAGTGATTAGTGAATATTGATTTCAATTGGTATAATGATTAAGCGTTCATTAATCCTTGATTAACAATAGTCATAATCCTCTCGATGAACTTAATTGTGGCTATCACTATTCAATCAATTTACTGGACAAACTCAAAAATTTGATCGTATTTTTTATTTTTATTTTATTGGATAAGTTTTGTGAGCTAAATTTTGAGGTTGAGCTATACTCAAAATTCACTTATCTTCATGGTGTCGAAGTTAGACCCATTCTCTTTTATAATGTCAGACCTCATGTTACGCTATGCACGCTCCAATTAATCATGAGTACTCATATTTTTCACTTGTACTCATCAAATGTTTTAAGTTGTAACTCATCCCACACCGAAGGTTAGGCATCTTCTTGTGTGTCCTATAATCTTAAAGAGGCATTTTCACTTTAGTTTCAAGGGAATGATTGTTCGTTCCGAAGGACCGGTAGGCTTGATCATAAACACAATGTAATGTTTAGGGCCTTCCACAAACAACCAACCCCCCCCCCAAACAAAAACAAGTCTGACCGAGCAATCTCCAGGCCTTTCACAGCCCACTAAAAGAAGTCTGATAGAGCAATCCATCTAACAGCAAAGCAAACATTGAAAAATAAGGCAAAAAGATGCAACTTGTAAGTAAGAAAAAGTGAATAAAACAATCAGAAAAGGAGAAAAACACATCGATCCAAACTCAACTAACACATTTCTAGAGGTAGAGGTAGCTACCAGAATGCAACAACAACACTTATTTTTATCAGCACATTAACATAAAACCAACTAAATGTGCAAAAACCAAACACATCCCAAATGAAACAAAAACAAATTTGACAGATTATGACGTACCTGTGGATTAGCGACGGAGGTCTTCAACGGTGGAGTAGCGACGGAGGGTCGATGGCTGAACGGAGGTCTTCAACTGTGGAGTAGCGACGGAGGGTCGATGGCTTAACGGAGGTCTTCGACTGTAGAGTAGCGACAGAGGGTCGATGGCTGAACGGAGGTCTTCGACTGTGGAGTAGCGACAGAGGGTCGATGGCTGAACGGAGGTCTTCGACTGTGGAGCGGCGGCGGCTTTTTTTTTTTTTGAGAAAGAGGGTTCGTGACTGAAATGGGGAGAGTGTAAAACATTAAAATCATGTTTTCACCATTTTTCGCAATTATAATATTACTAGTAAAATTATTAAGTTTGGAAAAATCATTCAACAAAGTAAATTTATATTATTTAATTATTCATCATAATTATTGTTTGTTATAATTATCACTTGCAACTAACACTATACATTAATTACGCGAACTGACTTCGATTTTGTATAATTAGTCATGTTAGTATATGTATAATTCGCCAGAATATACAAATACAATATGTATATAATATACAATTATTTAACTTATATACATCTACAATTCAACTCTCTCCCACTTTCTGCCCTCTCTCGCTCGCCTCTCTTCTCCCTCTCCCAATCTCGCTCGCCTCTCCTCCGTCTTCCAATCTCGTTTGCCCTATATACAAATGTATATGTATAATATAGAATTATATACATATACAATTCACCTCTCTCCCACTCTCTTTTCTCTCTCGCTCGCCTCTCTCCTCCCTCTCTCGATCTCGCTCGCCTCTCTCCTCCCTATCCAGTCACGCTCGTCTCTCTCCTCCCTTTCTTGCCATATATACAAATACATATGTATAATATACAATTATCTAACCAATATTCATATACAATTCACCTTTCTCCCACTTTTTTCCCCCTCTCTCGCGCCTCTCTCCTATTATCTAACCAATATTCATATACAATTCACCTTTCTCCCACTCTTTTCCCCCTCTCTCGCACCTCTCTTCTCTCTCTCTCCTAGTCTCACTCATCTCTCTCCTCTCTCCTCCATATAACATGTAGCTACAAATTGTAATAATCAAACTATAGCTATGGAGAGTAATTAATTATTTTTAAGTAGCTATATGTGAAAGTTTCCCGATATTTAATATCATGAAATTAAAAAATAACATTTAAAGTTCATCCATCAATAAAACTAAAACACTACACTCTCTTTATTTCAATTGTTAAGATGTTTCACATCCTTTAAGAAAAAAAGATTAAATTAAATATAATTTTCCATTTTTTCATATTCATTATTATCAAATTTATAATTAAAATAATTAAATATTAATTAATAACTAATTCCAATACCAACTAATGACATGATTTCAATTTTCGTGCATGACATAAAAAAAATATACATTATATTGCAGGAATCAACGTTAGTCGTTAGGAAACTAAAGACATGATTTCAATTTTCTTGCATGACAACTTTATCATCGTTATTATGCTAATATATATGTTCTTTCTTCATTTTTAATTATTATGATTTTTTTAAAAAGTTAAATTATAAGAATTTTTATTCATATTTACGATATATTTTTTTATCATATTAATATGTAATATAATTCGATTTTTAATACTTTTTGTATAATTTTTTAATATCTAAATTTTTTAAAAATTATATCAAATTAATGCAATCTAATTTAACTATAAAAATTAATCAAATTGACTTTCGAAAAACGTAATATGACATATAAAAGTGAACGCAAGGAGTAATATAATTTATTTTTTGTTTACTTATTGGTTAGAATGTGTTTTGGTGTATATCAATATAAAAAATTTGACTTTTAGTATTAATGACAAAAAAATTTCACTTCATATATTTTTTTCTCTCCTTCATTGTTAATGTAATGTGGCGAAATGGTTTGGTGAACCCTTGTACTTGTATGAGTTTGTATTCTGAACTCTTTTACTTGACTTTTTGTCAACTAAATCCTTAAGTTTAATTGAAATGAAATTTTTGAACCCCTCCAAACATGTGTTTAGCTCACTCTCCCTAACATAAATGACATATCATATCCACATCATATATGTTAATGTCATGTCATAGTATATTTTTGGCCTAAGTCATTCCCAACCCCTTAAAGTTGTCCGCATAATTCAGTTAGACACCTTATCTAAGGTTTGTTTCAATTGAACACTTTTATTAGTTAAAATATATTCCTACTAAACATTTTCTGACAATCAATTAAAAATAGAGAGAAGTTACATACACTCGCGGATGATATGGTACAATAACCAATAAAAAAAGACATATGGCATTGACCCTTTAATAACATTAAAAAAATAAATAAAATAAAACTACTTTTTTAGCCAAAAAAATAAATAAAATAGAAATATGAAAAGAACCTTTCTTCTTTGTTTCTTCTTTGCATAGCAGTAACCCTACTACATCACCTCCATACCCGTTACACACTTCAATAATAATGGTAACTCCACTTTTCCCCTCACAATTCACACAAGGATTTTGTTTCCCACTAATACACCTGCCCCGTCTCCTTCATTCTAAAATTCATTAGCATTTTTGTGCTATTTCTCCAAATCTCACCTCTTTTTTTAAAAAACTTTAATTCAGATTCACATATTTTTTTAATTCCTCTATTAAGGTTTATTAATTTTTTTAACAATTTTAAGAAAATAACTTCAGATTCGTATTAGCCTTGCCGGAAAAAATAATGTTTTACCGAAATTATTTTTGACATAATTTGATTATTATTATTATTTTATGAAATTCTCTTCTAAAACTCCAAGATAATGCTGATCATATCGAGAATGACGGAACAATGCTAGAAAGAAAGTATATGGGGAAGGGGTGAGGCGGAGGATGGTGGCTTAGGAATTTGGTCAGTAAGAATTCAGTTTCTCTTTAAGAAAAAAAATTGGAACCAAAACAAAGCGGAACCAAAACAAAGTGTCAAAGATCTTCTAAAGACTGAAGAAGACAGAGTGCTCTGAAGAAGAAGATTGTTGAAGGATAATGGGTTTTGTTTTCCTTTTTTTTATTAAGAGATCCTTGTTGAACTAAATTATTAATTTTAGTTATTTAATAATATATCTAAGTTTCAAGAAATTACAAAATCAATTTTAAAAAAATAAAAATAATAATATTGGGATCTATTCACGCGCTCAAGGACAGTGAAATTACACTTATCTTGCCACATAAGCTTTTTGTGTTTAATGGGTATATGTTTTGAACAATTTAAGTGTTCAATTGAAACATGTCCTAGTTGAGGTGTTTAAGTGAATTATGCGGACAACTTCAAGGGGCTGCTTATGACTTCAGCCTATATTTTTTAACATTTTTTTAAATTATTAACTAAATATGACATTCAAATAAAAGATAAAAATTATAAAGATTTCAATTTTTTTTTTAAAAATAATTATTATTTCTCTCACTTTTCCTCGACCTAAAACCTCCAATAAAAAGAAAAAAATGAAAATTTAAAATTTATAGCTCAAATGATGAATCAATTTCCTTCTTCCTTTTTTTTAATGGACCATGCCCATTTATTCGTAAAAAATAAAGAAGTGTTCAACTAAGGTCCAACAATGACCAAGTCAAAGGCAAATAATATTTATTTTTTAAAAAAACTAAAATAATCTAATAAGAACCAAATACTCATGATTCTTTCTTCCTTAAACTTCAATTGAAAAGATAATTTGGGAAGGCTAAAAAGTGGCCACAAAAGAATAAATACAATATTAAAAAATAATTTTTTTTTATCATTGATCTCCTTTTTCCTAATTCTTGTCTTCTTTGAAAAATGACTATGAAGCTCAGAAAATCAAACTCAAACCCAGATCTCAAAACTAATATGAACAATGTTTTCTTATTGTTGGATCTTATGGCAGATTTTTGAAATTCGAAGAAGAAGACCACTCACAACCAAATCCAGATCTCAGCACAAAAAAATCTATGAACAGAATTGTCATATCTCAAATTGAAGCAAAATCATCACATAACAACCATGGATGACCTATAGCCACCGGAGAAAAATCAGGCTTCTTGTCAACATCTGAAACTTCCATGGATAACGTGAAAACTCACTAAAACACTTAATCATTAACGGAGTTCAACGGATAGAAAAGGTGAAAATGCAAATGAAAATAACCTCGCAAGGGACACTAAGATCTGCATTGTATTCTCAGAAAAGGGAGAAGAGGAGAAAAAGGTTGGAAGTTTATTTTTTTTTAAATTTAATTATTTTAAAGCAAATTCATTGCTTTCACTCGCTTTTTAAAATGTGAAACCATGCGCTATAACTGAATCAACAAAATAATGTCATATAAGATTGATCAATGATCAAAGGATTTAAAAATCTCATATTAAATAGAATTTAAGGGTTCAGTTGGCAAAATATTAAGTAGAATGAGCTAGAATACAAACTCATACAAGTATAAAGGTCCATTGGACTATTCGCCATGTAATGTTGAATTTTCATGTCTCTCTTTTAAGTACATTTTTTATCTTAAAAGATTTACGTTAATTTTAAAAATGTTTTATACTAATTAACAATATAATATAGAACAAAATTACTTAGATTGATACCTTTTAATAAATAATTACTGATTTTAGCGATATTTTTTTATTACTACCATTTATAGCAACGCTATGTTAAACCTGTAATATGTATTAAAAGTGAATTACGTATAAAATATATATGTATTATAATTGTTTTTAAGAATATATTATGCTTGTTTGAAAAGAAATCGACACATTATTGTATTATAAATGTATTAAAATATGTGATAAATATATTATTCATCAATAAAACTTGTAGTATATGTAAATAATAAATTATTTTTTGAATATGTATTAAAATTGTATTACAAATGTATTAAAAGTGATCAAGTGAAAAAATATGTTATTACTATAAATGGTAAATATTTTCTACTATAGTGTATTTATGTAAGTTTCCTATAATATATATACACAATAATTTATTTTTAATACATATTTATTATTAATTAACGCGGTACATATTTGACGAATATATAAACAAAATGTCACTTTCACATTATTTTTTTATGTTTTTTGTTTTTTGGATAATGCACAAGTACCCCCTCAACCTATGTCCGAAATCTCAGAGACACACTTATACTATACTAAGGTCCTATTACCCCCTGAACTTATTTTATTAATATTTTACCCTTTTTGCCTACGTGGCACTATCTTGTGGGCCCAATGTTGGTTGATGTTTTTATTCAAGCTAGTCCCACATAAGTTGAAAAGAGATAGAAAATTACTTATAAAATAAGTTCAAGGGGGTAATAGGACCTTAGTATAGTATAAGTGTGTCTTTGGGATTTCGGACATAGGTTGAGGGAATGCTTGCGCATTTTCCCTTTTTTTTTTTGAATAAAAAGGATATTTTATATATAATATAATTAATTAAGTGGTTACAATATCACAAGTACCAGTGATTACAGATAGGTTACCAAAACAAACTAACTTATTACAAGTACTCCTAGTAATTAGTTTGGGATAATGCACAAGTACCCCCTCAATCTATGCTCGAAATCTCAGAGACACACTTATACTATACGAAGGTCCTATTATCCTCCTAAACTTATTCTAATAATAGTTTTCTATCCTTTTTTTACCTACGTGACACTATCTTGTGGGTCCAACGTTGGTTGTGGTGCTACTGCTTGTTCTTCTATTAACTTAAGCAGTTGTCATTTCTCTAACTTTATAGCTTGAACAATTTCATTTGTTGTCAATAACCGTCGTTTTTTTATTTTCCAAGAATGATAATGTCAGTTTTAGCATATGTCTTTGCTTTTTTTCCTTTTTGAAGACTCTTTTTGACTCATGACTATCCAAATTTTTTGTAAAAATAAGACATAAAAAGCCTCTTAGTGCAGAATTTTCAAAAGTGAATAACATAATCAATGAAAGTCAGAAGAACAAACAACAATAGGGTCAGTAGTGTGTAAAGAACTATGCTCCTTTTGTTTCTTATTTGAAAAAAAATGTTGGTTAGTGGATCACTTTTCAACCAATCAACAAGAAAGATTCTATCTTGGGGAAGAGGAATAACAAGCAATGGATTCAAGCTGAAGAGGAATAACAAGCAATGATAGAAGATGCAAAGAGAAGTATAACATATAAATAAATAAAGAATGTTAATAACTAATATATCTATAGTACCAACATTAACAAGAAAATATTCCAGAACAAATTAGCAAAAATCAAGCAACTAGCAGTAGCAAATAGGCAGAAACCAAGTAGAGTACAATCGACATTTATACTTTATATGATGCAACTCAAAAAGGAATTTATTACACAGTACATAAAAATATAGAAGCGACAGTATTGAACAAGTTCAAAAGATCCTTTGTCAATCATCAGCTTCCATCTAATCCCAATCAGTATCATCAAAGTCATCCTCCTCTTCAAGTGTTTCTATAGCTACATCTTCTGAATGTTGTGCTAAGATAGGCAGATCAATGATATCAACAAGGAGATCTTCTCTTGACCATCTAACATCTACATCGAGTACTCTTTCTGATGAACCAATGTCATCGTTAGTCTCTCTCCAAAATGTTTCTTTAATATTAGGACAATTCGCTTCCTCTAAATCATACAAATCCACTGGAACTTTATGTCTTGCATAATATACATCTTTCTCAATTGGGTCTTCCACATAAAAAGAACTTGATGCACTTGAGATGCTAGTACAAAAGAATCATTTGTATTGCATTGTTTATTGAAGTATACCCGAGTCAATCCATATTCATCAACTTCGTTATGAAACCAATCACATTGAAAAAGTACAACACTAAAGCAACCCCAATAATAAATCTCAATGATATCCTGAATAATTCCATAATAGATAACCATTCCATCGATAGGATTTTGGTCCCTAGCGCTAGCAAAACTATGTTGATGCTGACAAAGTAACTCCAGTATTCTGAGTCTTGCAAGGGACATCCCGTGTCTTTGTATGAAATATATGTCCATTAATGAAATATCCAGTGTATCTTTTAGCCACAAAATTAGGTCCTTTAGCTAGCCATTAAATGATTGGAAACTTCTATATTTTTAACTTTATCCCTAAACCAATCACTGAATTCTCTACTATGGATTTGTGCTTTTATCCATGCATTTCCTTTGATAAGATTATAAATTAAATTCTTGTGTTCCCTGCAAGAATGATATGCAATTTAAACAATGTAAAGTACATTATCATAAATATAAATGATGCTTAGAAACAAATGACTATTTTATCTTACTCGATGAATGTCTCTACTTTTTCATCTCTGGTATTGAAAAAAACATATCGATGAGCTTCAGACTTCTCATGATTCTCCATGTTAAAAGTCTTTCGGTTCCTTTTATTCATACTTCCGATTTGATGACCTGTCTTAGGAAATAAAGATAAAGCATCACCTTCCTCTATTTGATTGTCCTCATCATCCTCGGTTTGGTACCTACTAAATGTTGCCTTCACCTTTTCAGGTAGGTATCTCGAAATAAAGGTCAAACAATCTAAAGCTGAAAAACCCTATACTATTGCCCCTTCTGGATTTTTTCGATTACGAACAAGCCCCTTGAAGTCACACATAGTTCTTTCAGTAGAATACATCCAACGCAAACGAGTCGGGCCTCCAAGCTTAATTTCATCCACTAAATAGATAGGCAAATGTGTCATTATATCAATAAAAGATGGAGGAAAAAACTTTTCAAGCTCATATTCTATATCAATGATTTCAGCCTTCAGCTTATCAACAATGCTTGTTCTTATAACCTTACTGCATATGGCTCTAAAAAAATCCCCAACCTAATTAAGACCAAAGACACATTCTTGGGCAACACTTTTCTAACAGCAACCTGGATCAAGTAACGCAAAATGACGTGAGCATCATGGCTTTTGTATCCTGATACTTTCATATCTTCAACTTGCACACGACTTGATATATTAGAGACAAATTCTTTTGGTAATTTGTCATATTTTAAAACAGTGCAAAATAACCTTTTCTCATCTGGTTACATAGAGAAACAAACATTAGCCAAATGAATATTTCTAGTATCACAATCTTTTACTAGTTGAAGCTCTTTGCGTATCCCCATCTTATGCGAATCATAGCGAGAATTTATATGATCTTTGGACTTTCCAAGTATATCTAATAAAGTCCCAAGAAAACTGTCACAAATATTTTTCTCTATGTGCATCACATCAAGATTGTGCCTCAATTTGTTGGTCGCCCAATACGGCAAATCAAAAATATGGATCTCTTTTTCCATGGACCATCATTCTTTCGTTTTCTTTTATTTTGGTCCTTCCCAAAAACATTATTGAATTCACGAAGTTCTTCAAGAACTTGTACGCCTGATAAGGGAGTAGGTGCAACTCTATGCTCCTCTTTACCATTAAAGGATTTTTTTATCTCTATATGGATGATCATGAGGTAAAAATGCTTGATGACCCAAATAACACATCTTATGACTGTGTTTGAGATATTGGGAACAAGTATTATGATTGCAAGTGGGGAAGCCCATTTTCCCTGGGTACTCCATTCGGAAAGCATTGACAATGCTAGAAAATCACTAATTGTCGACAATAAAGATGCACGCAATATGAATGTTTGATTAGTTACAACATCATATGTTTCCATTCCCACTTTCCATAGTTCCTTCAACTCTGCAATCAGTGGTTGTAAGTATACATCTATATCATTTCCAAGAGACGATGGACCTTGAATAATCGTTGACAACATTATATACTTCGACTTCATGCAAATCCATGGCGATAAGTTATAATTCATCAACATAACCGACCATGTGCTATGGGAAATGATCATAGTTCGAAATGGATTAAAATCATCACTTGAAAGACCCAATCTAATGTTATTAGCATCACTAGCAAAGTCATCCGTATGCAAGGAATCAAAATCCTTCCAAGCTTCCCCATCAACAGGATGTCTTAAATTTCAATCTTTGAGTCATTCTATATCATGTCATCTCATAGCTATAGATGTTTCAGAACACATGAATATGCTCTGAAGCCTAGGCTTTAAAGGAAAGTACCTTAAAACCTTTGCTAGAATTTTAGTGACCTTATTAGTCAAGTCCTTCTACCTAAATAATCCACACACTGAGCACTAGTCTAACTTTACAGTGTCATTCCAGAATAACATGCAATCGTTACGACATGCATGAATTTTCATAATGAAGACCTAAATTTTTGTCACCTTTTTTGCCTTGTAGAAAGACTCATGTATCTGAGCAAAGGAAAATGCCTCTTTTATCAAGTCCAACAAATCTGAAAAGGCTACATTACTCAACTTGTGAATGCATTTAAACAAGTACAACCGAATGGTGAAATCCAACATAGAAAAGTTCTGACACCACGGGTACAAGTCTTCTTTCCCTTCTTTAACTAATTTAGAGAATTGCTTTGCATCTTCAGATGGTCCCTCTCTTAGTCCTTCATGCCTCGGGTCATCCGCTACATTTCTAAAAGTATCTTGAAGTAGTTTATCAATACCGTCTTGTCTGCCGAATGTTTCATCATCATTGGTTGGATGTAGCGTATTTCTTGAGGAAAACCCTTCTCCATGGAAAACACATTTGGTGTATCCATGAACAAACCATGACAAATCAGTGATCCTCCACCATATTTCGACAATGCCAATAACAATTAAAGCACTTCTTACAAGGACATAATGTTTCATCTTTTTGAGAAGATCATTCAAATGCCTTATCCAGGAAAACATTAACTCCATGGATATACTCATTAGTGGAACTTTGGAGATCCATCCAACTTTTATCTCCAACTTCCATTTAATACCCTATGTTACATGAGCAAAACATTAAAAAAAAAATCATGAGTACAAGCACTATGAACAAAACTTTACCTTTCAAAGTTTGAAAATATTCTTGTACTTTTTTGTTTCTATCTAAATCATGATTGTAAATTATCTAATTTATGTCATTCGGTAAGTGAAATTTAGTTATATAGCCTATATTTTACTTGATCGTTTGATTCCTCAATTTATTCTATAGTACATGGTAGGTCCTGCCTTACAACACAGAAGAAGAATTATTATAGATAATAAGGTAAAATTAATTCACAAAAATGGTAGAAATGTCCTGATGAGATCATTTTAGATCACTTTAAACTACTAACCAAACAACAATACATAACATATATTTTACTTGATAGTTTGATTCCTCAATTTATTCTATAGTACATTGGTATTATGCTTCAGCTAGTACTGATCATAGAGCTAATGAGTAACAATAGAATAAATTTGGTGACTCATCTATTAAGTGATTTTTAACAATTAGTCTTATCTTTTATCATCTTTTAAAAGATTTTATTTATTATATGTTATTCTACCTTTTCAAAAGTATTTATATTCTTTCAAATAAACAACCAATTCTAGATATTATATTAAATCTGAAGTCCCTTATTTTCCAAAAACAAATTTCTGAACAAGTCTTGTATATAAATTTTTTAAACTTTTGACTTATAAGTTACTTTTTACAAGTCCTTCTAAATAATAATCTTCCGAATGAATGAATGACAACGAGATAACTATCTAGGTAGCACAGGTTACCACGTTGGAAGAGAGAATTGGGTAATTTATCATGAATATTTGAAACAAAAATAAAAAGATCTGATACTTAGCTACAACATCATCCAATTTACTATAACAAGAGCTAAATTTCATAAAATTCACTCCCAGAAGAAAGAATGGGACAAATGGCTAGAGGAAAGAAGGAGGGATGCATCTACTTCATACCATTAATAAAACTAAAAATGGCTTAGCCACCCAAAAACATGAGGAAACTAAAGCTAGATAGATCACCTTTTTATGATAAAAGATACGATGTTGGGGTTCTACTATTGTAACTGCTACGACTCCTTAGGTGAGAAAGAACCCTTATTATAATAGTGAACAAGACTTGCTTGAATATACCATTAATCCTGGTGAGATGTGCATATGCCCTATGGTTTAACTCACAGTGGATTCCGTGCCTGAATGTAATGTGCAGTTTTGAATTCCGTTTGATTAGATGCATCTTGTCCTTTATCCTACACCTAGTGCATTACTTTTGTAAAGAAGGCATCCGTCCGTTCAATTGGAATTTCATTTGTAGAGGTATACTCCAATTAGAAATATCCAACGTATCTTCCTGAAAGTCAAGTTCCACATAGGATACAAATACAACTACTCTAAAGGCTACTTTCATTTCTACTCTTTGCTTCTGATTCAATAGCATGTCATGCAAAGGGTTAGCAACAAATTGGCAAGTCAAGCAGTAAAGACGTAAATCCACTTAGAAAGACACTAATAGCTGTTCTTTGTGTATTCTCTGTTTGTTTGGGATAACTCCAAAAACCAGTAAGCTTGGGAACCAGTCATAATGATATGAAAATTAAATTTCACAATAATAACTTCAAACTTTCGATCAATGGGAAATTTAAGTTCACATAGATAGGCCAAACTCAAAATGCAAATCAAAATACCCAAAGTCCTAGGACAAAATAACCTACAAAACAACAGTTCTTTTATAAAATTGAAACCCAACTTCTCAATGATTTTTTCACAGAGTTATAGAATCTTCACAAAATTTGAGTTACAAAGTCTAAACTACAAATGGATTATGTATAATACACCTAGATCAGAACAAATAACAGACATTTCAACAAACCTTTTTGTTATTCTTTACAATTTTTTAGAAGCCCCTTCAATGGAATTTCAAATTCTGGAAAATAGTACATCTAAAACGAAATAGTGACAATGAGGACTTAGAATTCACCTTAAAATAGTACACCTCTTTATCTAGAAGCTTAATGTTGAAGAAGACTACTTTTGGAGATGAATTCCACTTAAGATGAACACTTCAAATCGACCAAAATGACCACCGTAGGAGAAGCTAAATGTTTTTTTGTAGAAGATGGAGGAGTCATCGAAGAAGACGACCACTGATTCTCTTCACCGAAGCACAAACATTGTTGTGGAAGATGAAGGAGTCATTGGGTTCTGGAAATTTAGAGAAATGAAGTGTTTAAGTTTTTTGGAAATGTATTTTAGAGGACTTAATTCACTAAAATGAAAAAAAAAGCAGGACACAGACTAAATTGATGGAGGGAAATAAAATTTTCACATAAAATTCGTGGGTTGGGCAATTCTTTTTCGTTTTCACTTAATCAAACCGTTGCCACAGACTATTTTTTTGCCACGGTTAATAAGTGTGTGGCCATAGATTCTCTATTAAGGTGATTATATAGATGATGCCACGGTTTTATATGAGAAATTGTTCTACTAGATCTAAGGATATATTGCAACGGTTATAACTGTCGCAACACATAATCTATTGCCACGATTGTAAAATTGTTGCCAAATAAGCATTGCATTAGGTCAAATTTCTAGTAGTCAAAGAAGAAAACATCATACTTTTGTAAGATAATTTTTTCAAACTAATTAAGTTCTTTTGGAAGTATCTCTTGAAAATTTGATGTGGGTGGAGGTTGAAGTTGGAGTGGTGGGTGGCGGAGAGGACGATATGGTGGCTTGTGGGGTGGAGGAATAGTTGCGGTTGGGGTGGAGAGGAAGATCTGGTGGCTGGTAGGGTGGAGGAGTTGTAGGGGTTGGGGTGGGTGAGGGTGGAGAGGGAAACTGGGTTGGGTGGGGTGAAGAAGACGACGGGGTTGAGCACGGGGTAATTATTTTTTTCTTATTGTTTGATTTTAAAATGACACATGTCATCAAATCTGTGGCCTTCTTTTCTACTCAAAAGTCATTATTTGATTATTAACTTTATATATATATATATATATATATATATATATATATATATATATATATACCACGTGTCTTTATTTGATTCGTCACTTCGACACATCATCAGCAAGTGTATTACACACACCTTTATATTTGGATGATTGTAAAAAAAAAGGTCAAAATGACACAATAGAACCTTACATAAAGTGTCTAAAATGAACAAAGTTTAATTAGTGTCTAAATGAAAGTTAGTGCCAATTTTAGGGGATCACCGATGGGTTAAGTCTTGTTTTTATAAAGTTTTAGCTATTATCATCATTAATTTTTAAAGTTAAAAAGACTCACTAGGTGACTAAAGCGAGACTTCCTCTCTCAAAAGTCCAATAAAAATTACTCACAAAAAATATTACTGATTTTATAGTTTGTTTAATTTTTCTCTACCTCATCAATGATTATTTAAACTGAACTTAAAGGCCTTAACTTATTTTCTCTTCCATTTAACATCAATGAACAATATGTGTTTGGGTTGGGTCATTAAATATATTATTAATTAAGCTGCAATTTTCTTAAAACGAGTGACCTAAATCAAGCTACAATATATACATAATCATCAAAGCAAACCATGCATGACTTAGCTTATAACATATAAATATTCATAAGATTTATTAATAATAATGAAGTTGCTTAATACAAGTTACATGATCAGTAATTAATTAATTCCTTAATCAAGAAGAACATGTTTGTTTAGCAGCTGCATCCATTTGGTCCCTTTGAATTCCAGCATTACACATATTAGCAAATCCACGAACGTATTTTTTACCATACCTAGTCAATGATCCACAATGCGACTCAAATATCTTCACCTGCACATCAATGTAACATTAATTTTCTTTACACTGTCAACGTATATATGATCATTGTTATAACATAGAGACGTGTAGTATATACTTACAAAGGATTTAAGACAATCCCAATCATCAACAAGGGGTTGTCCAGCAGGTCTAACAATGTTGAGCACTTTTGGACCATTCTCAACTCCAAATAAAATTTGTCCAATATGTTTTACACTATTGTCTACATGTTCTCTTTTTAATATAACTTCACTTAGTTTCCTATAAGCTTCCGATTTTCTTCTAGACCCTTCAGGAGCATTCTGAAACTGTAACATTGGTCGTATATTTAAACATTGTTTTACGTAGTTACAAAATTTAAAGTGATGTAAGATTAATTAATCACCTTGGATATGAGATACAAGAGTTGAACATCCCGTTGATTAACATGTCTCGAGTTTGAGGCGTAGTTATTCTTGGTAGAAGAAGTATGTGTTGGGAAATTAGAACCCATATATATGGAAAGAGCATCCTCATGTATATGTAGATCACCATATTCCATCATATGGGAACCTTCTGTACCATTGTTTAACACTCTTTTACGAATCTGATCGAATTCCAAAAAAAAAAAAAATTCAACGACAAGTTAGCATTTATAAAATTAACAACTATGTGATCTTACTCGTTGATACTGCTTCTTCAAGGTTTCAACTTGTCGATCCTGCAATTCACTGATTTATACAAATCACGAAGTATAGTTTAGTTTAATTTGACATATAATATATATCATATTTTTTAAAAAATATTTTGTTCTATAATAAGCATGTCAAATTAAATAATGTAACAAACATATACATACCTATTCTCTAGCCAAGAAACACTGAACAAATCTCCCAAACAAGTACTTTCATAACCTTTTGGGGAACAATATGTAGCATAACTATTTTCATCGGCTTTTGATGCAGTCGTTACATAAATATTCAAACCTTTATAAGGAAGACCTTCAAACATACTTCCAGACTCACAAGCTTCCAGATAAAATACCTAATTAATTAAAAACCTACGTTCATTATCCATACATCGATCATATATGCAATAACATATATATGTATATATATACTTACCATTTTTTCGTAAGTCCTAGAAGCATGTTTTTTCTTCAAGACCTCATTTAGGTCCTTGGCATAAATTGATGGTTCTATAGGCATATCTAAATATATGACTAAATTAGATTAATTAAATACTTTGGTGAACAATATTTTGTTTTGGTCGGAGTAAGAAAATTAAAAAACTTTACCAATTACACCAGAACCACCGTGATCAGCATAGTAAATAAAAATATAATCATTTGGACCACTGTTTACAACTTTTCCACTGCCTCCAGTTAGAGCACTTTTGTTTCCCAGGACAACACCATAAAAGTTTTGAGCATTACAATGTTTTCCCGTGTAATCCTACAAATATAAATCTCATAAAAAAGTTAATCATATCTATATACAGTCACATTAGATTTAAGAAATTAATTACCATCAAAGAGTGGAATTAGAAGTTCAATTACGAGTTTGGTTGAATTCATCAATTTTTGCTCAAATATTATATGCCAGTGGCACTTAAAATCGTCATTGTAAAACTCAGAACTCATACGTACGTACCTTGGGTACTCCCTTGTACACATCAGGGCCATGTGGCTTATTTATGATAACTCCAGGTTTAGGATTTTCGGAATTGTAAGCAATGTCATCATACATGAATACAACAATGTTTTCATCTTTTAAACCGCCTTTTTTCAGTAATTGATAAGCATGACATATATCCGCCTGAAATTTTTTACCCAAATTAAGAAATTAATCCATCTTAGAAACAATTCTTTTAGTGGTTTTGCATACAAACTTATGTCTTTTCATTACTTTATTTTTAACCATAAGTGAACTTATTCATCCTTAACTATCTTTTCGACAAGTTGGGTCTCGTGCCTAGGGAATATATGAAACGTTTTCAATATTGATTCGTATGAAATTAGCACGTGTATTATCACATTAATATTAAATATATGTATATATTACCTGATGTCTGTAATTATACCATTCATTTGATCCAGCTACTAACACAGCCCATTTAGTTCCAATTGAATTCTCATGATCTTCAAAAATACTCTCCATCATGTTACTACCCTCAACTAGTACCACAAAAAGTATAATTAAGAATGATGCAACATTAATTTTAGCAAACATTTTGAATTTTAGAAAGTAATTATATATTTTTCCAGCTTTAATTTTGATTGGTGATGAGTTAATCCACTGAGTAACACAAATTAAATTTATAGAGTTTTCTAATTGTCTTATTCTATGCGGCGGTTATGAATTTAAATATGTCAAGTTGTTAAACTTTTCCACATTTGTTTTCTCTAGACTAAGATCTATATACTCCCTCCTGTCCATATTTGTTAGACACTTTTTGTTTTAAATGATAATTAAGAGACTATTAATATATTAATCAACTTTACTATTTTGCCCTTTATTCATATAATTAGCCTCTTGAAAAAAAATTAAATCTTCAAAATAAACTCCCAAAGTCATATTAATTATAGGGGTAAAATAGGAAAAAAATAATGAATTTCATCCTAATATAATAAGTGATCAGATAATATGAGATAAATATTTTTAATAAGATGTTCATCTAATTTAGAAAGGTGATAGTAATATAATTAAGTAGAAGTATTACCTTGTGGGGTAATTAGTCTAATAATAAACGTTCATCAATCATATAGCAAAGAGAGTTGTTAGAATTTGCCTACTTATTTGAACAAACAAACGACATTATATTTAAATGGGCAAATAATTTATGATCTTACTCATTTACTAATCCTTAAATTCAGCGTAATTAGTTAGAGGATAGTAGAGTAATACTTCATCCGTCCACATTTAATTGTTACTTTGCGTTTTTTGAAAATTAATTTAAATGGGCAAATAATTTATGATCTTACTCCATTTACTAATCCTTAAATTCAGCGAAATTAGTTAGAGGATAGTAGAGTAATACTCCATCCATTCACATTTAATTGTTACTTTGAGTTTTTTTGAAAATTAATTTAACTAATTTTTTTAAATTAAAATAAATTACATTAATTCGATTATTTAAACAAAAAAAAGATATTCAAGAATTATATAAAAAGTACTATAAATTACAATTTTTTTATATATCAATAAGATGTAAAAAATTATATTATAAAGTATTAATCAAAATCTTATTGTTTGACTCTATAAAAAGAAATCATTACAATTAAAAATTGACGGAGGGAGTGTTGGAATATAGGGAAAATTATGTGATAAAATGTTTTAAAGACTTAACTATATAAATAATATTCTCTCTAATAATAGTTGTCCACTTGACTTTTCACACTTAAAAACTATAAATAAAAGAGTAATTTTACTATATCAACTTTTGATTATAATAAATAGAATGTATCAAAAAATGTAATAGAGAAATACTATAAAGACAAATTAGGTACTAAAGTGAAATTATCCAATAAATTTATAAAATGAATGAATAGTATTAAATACCCCATAATAGTACCCCACATGTACAATTATTATTGCACGGAGAGAGTAATAGTTCAAATTTAAATGCTTAGAACATTGTAATTATTAGTTAGAGAATAATGGAGTAATGACTAATGAATCATTACAAGTGGAGTGTGGAGTATGGCTATACACTTCTCAAATATTAATATTTTCCTTATGTTCATTTTTATTTATGAACAATAAATATTGAGTATATAGAATGGAGTGCATATTATATGATTATTAATGATTAAAAAGTTCTTTAAAATGATTTAGGGAATAATTAAGCAGGTAAAATAGAAAGAAAAAAAATATTATTTAAAAGTGAACCAAGAGAATAATTTATTATTTGTTGTCTAAAAATATTCAAAACTAAATATAATTTGATAGTTTATGAGTAATTGAGACGCATATACAACAAATAATCCTAGAAAATTTGATTATTTAAACCTCTTTAAGCTATTTTATGCTTATTATCAAATTTTTTATTAAATCCTAAATCAAAGTATAAGTTACCGAAGAAATCCAACTTGGCCATGAACCTTCTTTGAATTTTAAATTTACTTAACTCTTTTATTGTCACGACGTAAAA